CGCTGAGCACGGCAGCCACCCCACCAAGCCCCACCAAGCCGCCAGACGGCGTGGCCCCCGCGCCCACATGCCCCCCGCCCCACCTGCTCTCGCCGCCCTCGGCCGCCTGGCGCAGGCACAGCAGGCCCAGTGCGTCGCCTTGGGCATCAGTGTGGAAGCCCATCGCCGCGGACTGCGTGGACTCTGCGTAGAGCTTGCCCGCGCCGTTGAGCGCCTTAATGTGGTGCACCATCGCGCCGTTCTTGCGCTGGGGGCTGAAGTTGAACCCCATGTGGGCCGCCACCCCGAGGTAGGCGACGAGCGCCGCGACCTCGGACCACTCGCCCATGGGCAGGCCTCGCAGCAGCTGGAAGCCGCGCCCGCCGGCGCCGCCGGGGCGGAGCTGGGCGTCGGCGAGGGCGGCGAGCTTGGGGCCGAGGCGGGGCAGCGGGAAGGCGGCCGCGGTCAGGCCGACCAGCGCGGCGCTCAGGCCGGGGCCGCCGGGGGCGTTGGCGGCGGCGGTGAACGCCGCCGTGGCCGCCTCCAACTGGGCGACGTCGTCGGCGGTGAGGGTGTATATGAACTCTTGCTGGCGGCCGGCCCAGGTCGCGGGCGTCCACACGCGGGAGTCGGCGATGGGCGTGAAGGGCTGCACGCTGCCCTGCGGCCCGCTCGCGGCGACGCGGCCGGCGGAGCGCTGGGCGGTTGCGGCCTTGGCGGACGCCGGGCACACGGCCGAGGCAGTGCGGGGGATGGTGGCGACCATGTTGGAACGCAGGCTGCGGAACGTCTAAAATTTCTCAAATTCGTTATGGCGTGTACTACGGTTGCGTCTGTTGTTTGTCTTTGAACAATGAAGGCAAATGACCGAACCTGATGACAGGTGGCCCGGGGCCCCGCTTGATGAGACTCTTATATGAATTCGTGGCACGGTATCGGATTCTCTGCTTGCTTGGTCCCCACTTTTCGCTTGATCAACTCCGTGTGACCCAGTCACACGAGGAAGTGTGACATGGTCACACAGTCAGGAATGTGTGGGCATGGGTGCTGCAAATGCTAAGTGAGCATTGCCACCCGGTCGGTGTGCTGCCTGAAAGTCGTGTGCTGCCTCTGTGGCGCGCCTGCACCTCGCCGCTGCAGGGCTCGCTGGCGGGAGGGGCGTCTGCTGTGCCCTGCTCTGTGTGCACACCGCTGCAGCGGCACCCGGGGCGGCCCATACTGTGAGGTTGGTGATTCTCTAGAGGATCTCTGCACCACCACAACGTCGAGGGCTCCACCCGAGCTTACGGGCTCTAGTGTGCGATCCAGCCAACCAGTGGCATGTGCAGCGCGGCTGCAGGCGGCTCGACCGCGACCCAGGCGGCAGGCGCGGCCTGCTCCTTCAGGGTGCCGGGCCTTGTTGGTTGGCACACCGTCAGGGGTGACTGGCGGTGGCACATGCACCGTTGTGGCTCACATTGCACGTGAGGAACGAGTCCTGTTTTCACATACTTTTTTTT